CGTCTTCTTATGACTTCGTAGTTTCCTAAGGTATCTTACTATTTGCAAAGTTTTTCTACTTCAACATGAATGCAGATAATGCAGCTTTTGAATTTCCGGGATTGCTTATGAATGGACTACAGCAATGAAACTACTCCAAAACTGCCGCCATTGTCTAGGTTCCCACTAAAAGTGGGTAACAATAATTGGGAAGATTGACTACGAAATGGGTATGTGAGATGGGTACGGGTTTTGACTGCTTCTTTGGTTGCAGTAATTCTTGTGAGATTCGCATGAGATTCACACTTCTTTACCTTCAAGGAGCATTCGACATAATCCACTTCTCCTTTCTCCTTCATACTTTTCTTCCACGACATTTCTTCCTCCTTTTTGTTGTGCTAGTAGATTTCGGGATATAATTGAGTGCAGCAGCATATTGATGCAAAGTTGAAATCTTTGAACTTTGCCTATTCGTTTTCTTGGTAAAACTTACTACTGCTCCGTTACCAAAGTTTAATCCAGAGGCATTATTTGTATCATTTTTACTTCATTAAGTAGCTTAATCAACCTTTCCTTAGCCGGTTAGATACGTGCTATGATATTAGTAGCCATGGATCTACTGGCTCGTGGCACTAGAAATATTTGTGGCGAAAAGATTTGGTCTAACTTAGCTGAATAATAAGGAAAGCAAAATTTGATTATTAGTGTACTGGTAATATCGCAAATAAATATAGAGTCGTAACATAGAAATATAGGATAAGATAGAAACATAGTAATCTGGAGATGAAGGTATCGCAATTCTAAAAGTTTTTCCTATTTAGAAGATATTTGTTAATGACTAGGACATTTATATATTATAAACAAATACGTTGAACTATAAAAAGATGCAATTTACTGAAATTTATGTAAATATTTAAAACAGTGAATAAGATTAGTACAAAAGATAAGGATTTCTTTTCATAATTAGCATACCAGAATATACAGTTTTAGATAATTATCATTTCTGATGTGTTTAACAATTTACATTAGATAACAAACTCATCAATGAATACTGGAATACATTGTAGTTTATCTTTGTTTAACATGAATAATCCTTTATCTTAGGGAATAGTTTATACAAAACCTTTGCTGTATTAACATATTGCGATCTTCTTCGGTTTCCCGACATTGGCAATATGTTTGAGGGAGATTGTTTATTCTTTGTAGAGGATTGACAATACCAGTTATTAGTCGGTATAGATAATTTGAAGAATTGTTTCGAAGTGGGAATTGGTAAGGAACTGCTGGTCGAATTGTACTTTAGAAGAATTGTGAATTGCAAATATGTGAAAGCGTTGTCTGTAGAGCGTAAACAAGTAAATAACATACTTATAAATAATTTTAAATGGATTAGTATTTACTGGTGCTACGAGCCGGAAAATGTCTGCAATTATAATACTAAGCGCACAACCGGCAAAAGTAAAATTGGAAGCTCTTCTCAACGAAGCCCAAGAAATGGATCTGACGCCTTTGGAGCAAATGTTGACAAGAGAAGAAACCCGTCAACACACCAGGCTCGAAAAAAAAAAAAAAAAAAACCATGTGAAGTGACCAAACGTAATATATATAATGCGTCTCAAGCTGCATATTGGCACACTTGAGACAATTAATACTAATTGGATCCAATACATACAGCAGGTTCCAGCAACGAAGAGACAACAAGAAAAAGACAAATACGCCCAAATAGTTGAAGATAAAAGAGGTATTTTAAACTTAATAAGTGAAGGCAAAGAAGTCATCATAACCTTAAATATGTATATGGATGACTCAGAGTCAGTAATCCAGCGCCTTAAAGAAGGCGAAATAAAAGAGCAACCAACGCAAATAACCTATTATTCAACGGTTAACTTACCTCAACTACCACTTCCTACCTTCAGTGGTAATCCTATGGAGAGGACTGTGGAGCAGCTTTAAAGCTGCAGCCCATCTACAAAAAATACCAGACATCCAAAAATTAAATTATTTAATTGCATGTCTAAGGGAGATGCCTCATTGGCCATTAGAGGTTATGATATAATCTCAGAAAATTATGATGTGATACGGAAAGTCCTTACTGAAAATTTTGAGCAATCACACATCATTAAAAAATCGCTCTATAATGAGTTGTATTCCGTTAAGAAGAATGATCGGGAATAGAAGGTAACAGCTGAAGTACTGAAAGAACACTTCGACAACTTGAAGCAATGGGTGAAAGTCTCGAATAATCCAGTATTGAAATTATCATTGAAAATAAACTGCTCGCCTGAATTCTTGACAGAGTACATCAACAAAAGGAATCTAAAAGCAAAATTGGTCTATGGACTAATTAGCGATATTTTACAGAGGGAACTTCGGCTCTAACTGTAACGACACCGCAAACACATAGAAAGGCTAATACGAAGATTAGCAAAACCCAAAGACCACGTGCTTTTTGCAATAAGAACCACCGGGATAATGAATGTCAAACTTATCCTAGTCTAGAACGAAGGATGCAACGACTGAAAGAAAATAACGCCTGTCTAAATTGTCTTCAACCAAGACATGTGACAATCAATTGCAAGACAAGGAAACGTATATGTTTCTATTGCAAAGGTCACCATAATACCGCATTATGCTACACTAAATACAACGATCAGGCACGATCAGTGGGGGCAATCGAAGAAGATACAAAGACGGCAAAGCCAATCAATCCAGTTATAAAGCATTCGACACGAAATGACAGATGTTTTGCTCTTAGGAAAGAAGTTGAAGTAATTAATTTAGAAGCGGTGCTCAAGCAACGTGTAGCAGAAAGATTACACCTAGAAGATATTGATTATGAGCAAGCGACATTCGCGGGATTCGGCAATAGAAACCCTCAAACATCGCTTTTTGCCAAAGTGCGAATTGGAATAAAAACGTTGGAAGCAGATATTACACCTATTGATTGTAACTACAGTAGTCGACTATTTAACAAACAAAATAAGGGTAATATCTGTAGACCAAGACAATGCATCAGATGTTTCAACTCTGCTTCCATTAACAAAGGAAATTAGCAATTGGAAACAGCCTAAGCTAATTATCGGAGTTAACTATTTTTTCAAGTTTACCTGTTTAGAGAAATCCCAAACTATAAATTCAGAGTTTTCTTTAATCAACACACAGTAGTCGTCCCTATGATTGCTGGATGTGGATATATAAACAAGCATAATAATTGTCAGCGTAGTAATCACCTCAACGAAATAGTAACACGGAGCACGTGCTGTTCCGTTCAGAATGAGGATCATCAAACTACCATTACACCTATTAATATTGACATTCCAGAGATTGATCGATTCTGGAAGTTGGAATTCATAGGAACAACCGAATCTATAAGATGAAGAACAAGTTTTAAAAAGGTTCAAAGAAAATATCACAAAAAACAATGATAGATACCAAATTGCCTAGCCATCGAAAGAATCCAGAATCAAATTAAATGACAATTTCGGATTGTGTCTTGGTCGCCTAAGAAGTAAACGACTTCATAACGATGAACGTTTACTTCTCAATTATGACGAAACGATTCGTGATCAGTTACAATCTGGCATTATCGAGAAAGTATGTTCAGCGATGGACCAGCTTGGTATTATTCACTATCTCCTCACTATTAAATTATAATTCCAAACAAGGCTACAACCAAAATTAAAATCGTGCATGATGCATCCTCACACCAAAAAGGAGGAAAGAGTCTGAATGATGTATTATACCAAGGATCCATAACTCTTCCCGATTTAGTTATGGAAATTGTGATAATAGCAGACATTGAGAAAGCCTTTTTGCAGTTGCAGTTACTACCAATAGAAAGAAACTGCACACGATTCCTTTGGTTAAAGGTTATAAAGGGACAAGTAACAGAAGATAACATTGAACATTATCCATTTAAACGAGTCCGGTTTGGAGCAATATTTTCACCATTTTCATTATCGGATAGTATTAACCACGTGTATCGATGAAGCTCTACACAAATATCAAGAAATGAAAAACATCTTTAACAATGCCTCAATGAATATTAGAAAACAAAGAATTGAATTCTAAGATTCCCGAACAAGATCGAGCAGAGACAAATAAGTTTAAAAAGATTCTTGGTATCAGTTGGAACTCAGATGAAGACATAATTCAAATAACCCTAAAGCCTTGGAAGGATCAAGTACCAACAAAAAGAACAGTATTGCAGTTCCTAGCCTCTCAATATGATCCCTTTGGATTCCTAACTCCATGTACAATGCCGATAAAATTATTTCTTCAAAATCTTTGGAAAGAGAAAGTAAGCTGAGACCAGTTAATAAGTAAGGAGGATCAGAAGAACTGGGAATCCCTTATATGTGCATGGCCAATATACGTGAAAGATATACAACGCGTCGTAATAGACACATCACTACCCACAGGAATTCATGTTTTTGTAGATGCTTCTTCAGCTGTATATACAGCTTCGGTATACTTCACTCAAGTCAGGAAATCTTTAGTTTTCGCCAAATTGAGAATTGCTCCCATCAAGAGTATGACTATTCCAAGATTAGAACTGTCAGCCGTGTTAATAGGAGTACGTGCTGTTCAATTTGTTATTAAATAAATAGAATTAGAGAATATTAATGTCACGTTATCGCACAACGTGGATTGTCCAGAAATAATTCTAAGTGGTAATGCGAATCAATTTCAGTTAGTTTTTCAAAGCCTAATGGAACAAGAAACCACAATTGACCGAAGTCTTAGGTAGACAGGATTAAAATGGAGAAATATAATTCCGAAGGTGCCTTGGAGAGGAGGAGTGTATGAATGGATAATCGCCCTAACAAAAGGAACATTAAGAAAGGTCATAGGTAGGAAATTGCTAAAAGAAAAGGAGTTTATAACCTTAATTGTGAAAGTTGAAAGTATACCTAATACTCACTCACTAACCTATGTAAACTTCAACGATTCAACAATCCTGAGACCTACTGATTTTATTATACCAGACGTATATCTAATGATGCCTATTAATAATACCGATGATCAAGATTATTCCACATAAGTTAAATGCTCAGGAGAACCTTATCAAATATTGGGCAAGAACAATGGGAACTCTGGACACATTCTGGAAAATATGGAAGGAGGAATACTTGACCAGTTTGAGAGAACGTACACAAATAGAACATAAATCTCCGGAAAGCGCAGAGATTAAAGCCCTGTTGAAGGAGAAATTGTAATGATGAACGAATCAAACGCTCCTCGTGGTACCTGGAAATTAGCAGAAATAAAGAAACTCAATAGGGACAGGATAATAAGAAGTGTTCTAATAGAGTTACAACGAGAAAGATTAATGAATCAACCTATAAATATGTTATATCCATTGGAAATTCGACAGAAAGAAGATACGAAGGACCAATCAACAATATTGAAAGATAGAATATATGAAACTGATAAACGAAAGGAACCCATAGCTCAACGAATTAAAGTGCTACGAGACGAAAACAAACTACAACAAAAAACGAAGAATGACTCAAGTCCTCCCATCCGCAATTACCAATTAAATTCTCCGTCGGGAGTGTCGCGGATTTTAATATCGCGAAACTCTAAAATATTATATGAGAGTTGTGAATATGAGTAAGAAATATGTTCTATGAAATCTTTGCAAATAATGTTTGTACTTTGAAATCTTTGTTTCCAATCTTATGTTTAACCTGTAAATCTTTTATATATTGTTTACATTCTTTTATATATTGTATCAGCTCATGTTTACAATCTTTCATATATTGTATCATCCCCTCATTTAGTTGACTTCATTGTTGTGTCGCCACTAATTGTAAATTATCCTTGAATCTTGAATGAGGTTAGCAACTTTTGCTTAACTGATGCCCTTTGCGGTTTGTCAACTAGTAAATAGATTTACTTGTAAACCAGGTCAACAACTCTTTGTTAGACCGATTACTCTTTTGGCAGGTCAACCTTATATTGTAAATCATATACTTTATCTACGCATATTGCTTGCTACATAAGGAGGTCACCCTTGTTGAAAGAGCATTGTGTGTTTTTTACCAAGAACTAGGCGAGTTCAATTTCAGTTCTTCTCTGTCAAGTTATTGTATTATTGCTTCTGTTAATTAAGGAATTATTATATTTCTCTGTTACCCCACATATTTACATCTACATCCAACGAATCTCCCTGCGATTAACAATCTCTCCCAAAATAATAAATTAAATTATTAAACCTTCCACGACAGTATTCATAGCTACAGAAGTATTTCAACATGACGATAGCCAATGTACTTTTCGAGTTAATAGAAGCACCACAAACATAATATCTGTTTTCAGAAACTGCAACAAAAGTGTACGGAACGAAGCAAAGGATTTTGCATGACCATTTGTTGACTTCAGCTTAGGTTGCCTCCCTAAGTTCCTCAAGTTGATCAGAAGAATCAAGCCGTCAAGTCAGATATGGCAATTCGCTCTCTGAGTCTTTCCTAGTAATCAACAGAGTGAAACAAAGTTTTTCAAATTATTCTTCAGCATGATACTTGGAAGAGTCACGGCAGATCTAATTAAAGAAAATGTATTTACATTTCATATCGTATCGACCCGGTCAACCTTCAGCGATTGAAAGCGCATAAAATTGCTCTTTGCAGACGAGCTCGCAAAGAAGCATTCTTGCAACGCACAACTTCCTGGCTTGCAGAAAATGTAAAATTTTTTGGACTAAACGTAAGCTTAAGAAATCACAAGTTTATCACAAGTAGACTATTGCTTTCATCATGTACTGTAGACTCATCTGAATTTAAATCAGTTCAACAATTTACCTATCTAGGAAGCATTACTTCCTTGAATGTCAAAGTCGACAGAGATTTAACTGAATAGCCATTATTACACTCCCATGTTAACCACATGCCACCCTCAAACAAGCAAAAACCACAATTATAAAAGCTATGTAGAGAGGAGAATTGTTGCCTCACTAAGACTTTACCCTTTGGTAAACTCATCACGAGGTCAAACGAAGCAGTTGACCAAATTATTTTGTGATATTTCCCACGCTACACTTTTTCAATGAAACAGATCATGACAAAATCTGAATAAGTGATTTGCTAACTTTGTACAAATTGAAATACATTTGCGGAAATACCAATCAAAAATCTAAATTACTTTCAGGCCTTAGCATGCTTCGATTAGAGAGACATGAAATTATTGTCAACAGAATGATTTAGTTTAGATTTTGAGAAAGAAATTAGAAGAATCAATGCTAAGCATTTTCCCATTGAAATTCATTTTTATTTTCATATTTTTAAATATGTGATTATAGAAGTAGAGGAAAAAATCCACTAATTCTTACATTGAGAAATACATTTTTCGTTCTCACTTTTTATTTGTTTCATTTTTCAACATTTAAAAATCGTAAACCGAGAATTAAACCTGATTTTTGTTTTAAAGTTTTTGATTCCTATATTGTTCTTTCTCTATGTTTTCAATGCAATTTCAATGATAAAGGCGAAAAAGGAGGTGAACGTAACGTCAAATTTAGAAATTGATAAAAATATACGTATAAGGATGAATATTATTGATACAAATTGAAAGAAAAATTAAAAAAAAAAATTTACAAAAGGCAAGGAATTTTTGTACTTTTTTCTCGTTTCCTCTTTTTGACTCTTTTTCTAAAGTGTTTGAAATTATTGCATAGTTTTTACAATTTCTTTTTTTTTTTGTTTAACATGGTGATCAGATTAACAGCTCAACAGTAAGATTTTCGGCTCTACCTTGATTTTTCTCAGTCATCTAGGATTTAAAAGTTATTATTGCCTGTTTTACTTGTTCCAGCTTCTTGTAAATATTTACAATTCCAAATTATTTTACATTTTGCATTACACATTTCCTTATTCTTTCTTCCTTTTTCATTTTTTCCTCCATTCATTGTCAGTACTATTTGAATAAAATGTATTAATATACGAATTATTAGTGTTTCACTACCAAATAGCCGATCATTGCCCTCAAATATAAATTGTTGCTTAATGATTGAATTATCAAATGTTTAAAATTTTGTAAATGCATCGAAAATTTATTTTTCACATCTATTTCTTTCTTTTTATATTCATCTCAGCCACTAAGAACTGCTCTAGGTCTTTCATTTAATTAAGATTGCACAACTGATTAATAAATTAAAGTTAACAGGATAGAATAAAATATGTGGTAAATGTCAAAAATAATCGTTAACGAAATTTTTTTTCCGAAACCGTTAACAGATTTTTTTGCTTTGCTTTTTTTAAAGTTTCTCTATAAGAAAGTATTTCAAAGCTAAAATTCACCACTAATTTCGTCCCCTCGCATTATGAATTAATTTTGAACATGAATCACAATGTACTGCAATTAGCTGAATCATATTATATGGCAGCGGCCTGATGTCACGACCTGAGGTTCGTTTGCATTTACATATGTAAATATTTATTTCAAATACGAATTTAGAACCATGAGGAGCAATGCACTGCATTATAATCATTATATAATGTTTTATATTTGAATCATCTATTATATTTGAATTATAAAAATTTTTGGAATTTCAAAACAGTCGTTAGAAATTTGCTGTTTATAATCAAAATATGAAAGTAAAAAAAAAGTAGAATGACTTAATAATGGAATTCTGTAAGTTCATTGCGTTTTTAACTTTTTATTGTAATATATGCAAGAATTTGGACTCAACAATGCTTGCAAATGCTGAATTGCTGATTTGAAAAAAATTGAAAATTAGCAGTTTTGCATGAATTTTTTTATGAGAAATAATTTTTGTGGTATTCAAAAAATTTTGTATTTTATTCAAAAATTTTCGAGAAACATAAGAAACAAAAATGAAAAAAAAAACAGAGGAGAATAATTCCTCAAATTTTCACTTTTTTATTGATGTATAATTATTAAGAAAAGCATTCATTTGCTATTGATTGCTAATATTTGAAGGTAACAATATCTTAAAGCAATACTTGAAAAAATTTGGTTTCATTTAAATTTCTCTTAGTACTATTAAATTTAATTACTATATTTAAAAGATACGCCTAAATTACATGAGACATTTATGCAATTAAAAATTTTAACTTTCATCTTCATTGCTTTTACTTTTCAAAATTTGAAATGCTTCCGAAAATTTGATTTGAAGGATAAAATTTACCTATATAAATGAATGTAAGAACGAAAGAAAAAGAAAAGAAAGAAAAATTGCTTCAGGCAAAGCGAAAAAAAAAGGAAAAGAAACAGAAACAGGAAAAATAAAAATTGAAAATTAAAAATGAAAAAACTGGAAGACAACAGTTTGTTAAAGAGAAACGGTTAGTTCTTCTTTTTCCGCCTCGTCATCTTCATTCTGTGCTAATTAATTTATAACATTAGCGATTCATTTATCTCTTAAAGTAGAAACATAGAACTATATGCATGTTCATTATTTATTTTCTAAAATAATGTCAAATAATCATGGAAAAAGTTATTGATAATACTACTGTCTTTTAAAATTAAAGTGCCAAAAAAAAAAAAATTGTAGAAGGAAAAGAACTGTAAACAATGAAGATATAGATTAAATTTTAAATTAAAATTAATTATTGTTACATTTAAATTTTACAACACTAGTAATTTTTTTCGTTTTAAATCTTGTCTGAAAAAAAAAGAACATATATACCGGATTTTTTGTTTCAGAAACTGGAATGTTTGTTTTTTCTTCTTTATTTTCTTTTGCTATTTTTTTTTCGATATTCTTAAATGAAATAATTGGTACAAATGCAGAAAGTGAAAACGAAATTCCAGAGATGTAAAGCAAATATGCCACATCAGAATAACTTAATCAGAAATATTGTAATGGTAAATCATCGAATGATTAAAAAAATATGCAGCACAATCTATATTTATATGAGTAAACTAGTACGACCTATATTGAGATGCTATGTTTAATACATTATAAGCATTTTAATGCTAATAGTTTTGTTTTGTATCAGTATCTGATAATATGTTTGTTTTGTTTTTGTTTGTGTTGATGATGATATATCATCATCAGAATATATGTTGAATTATATCATTTTAGATTTAGATAGCATGACGTTAATTTGTTGTCTAGAAAAAATGTAAAAAAGAAAGTGAAAAAAAATATTTAAATTGATTAATTAGTTTTTCTCGAATTTTGATCGCATTTATTATAACTGTCGCATAGCATAATCGGTTCAGTGTAAGAGCTGATCAAAAATTGTACCTTTTTTTGATCGTTAAACACTACAGTCATTGATTTTTACTTATTCAGAAAGTTGTACCTTCTCAACTTTCAAACTGTTTTTTTATTTATTTTTTTTAAAGAAAGAAAAAAAAAAGCAAAACGAAATCAATCATTACATCATACGTCACACATGCGAACAAATATAATGACCCGTTATTTTCAAATTATCAATCAACAACAGTTTTAAAAAGAATCATCATTAAATCACATATATTACCATTTCAATTGAATTTTTGCCTTTGAGAATTAGTTTTATGGAAGTAATGTAATATTTAAGTGTGAAATTGAACATTTCGTAAGAAAATTGGCTTCAAAAAGTTTATATTTTACTCTATTGCTGTCATTTTTTTTC